TTTATTATTTTATATATTGTATTATTATATTTATTTTTTAAGTTAATTTAATTTTAATTTGTATTATTATTTTTATTTTATTATTATTGTTTTACTATTATTTTGTTTTGTATTTTATTTTATTATTTTTATTTTATTTTTATTGTATTTTATTTTATATTTTATTTTATATATTGTATTATTATATTTATTTTTTAAGTTAATTTAATTTTAATTTGTATTATTATTTTTATTTTATTATTATTGTTTTACTATTATTTTGTTTTGTATTTTATTTTATTATTTTTATTTTATTTTTATTGTATTTTATTTTATATTTTATTTTATATATTGTATTATTATATTTATTTTTTAATTTAATTTAATTTAATTTTAATTTGTATTTTATTATTATTGTTGTTATTACTTTACTTTTACTTTATTTTATTTCGGTTTTTGCGGGTGGGGAGAAATATTGAGATCCCCCATGAAGGATTCTCAAATCCATCTCTCTTACACCCAGCTGTCGAAGAACCTCAAGGAGGCCTTCAGAAAAGAAACACACCAACGCTGATAATTCACAATTTTGCCATTGTTGTCACCAGAGATTTGAGCTTCCGGCTTGGTCCCGGGTGTGTGTGGGGCGGGGAAGGGAGGGGAGTTGGAGAGGAAGGATCAAATTGGTACCATAACACAGCCAGACGTAACTCACTTGAAAGACGGGCCCTTCCATTATTGACTTAAGGAAATCGTGGGAGATTTATTAATAACCTTTGGCTAACTTAAATAGCTCTAGTGATTTCCAGGTGTGACCCAAGGCCTGGCTGATTAGACACAACCATGACTTACTTACTCCCTCCAGACTAAAAGGAGGAACTCATGTGGTCGGTTTTCAAGAGTTCTGCTAGTTAAACTCCCCAAATTAAAGGGGGGGGGGCAGAGCTTAAGAAAACATGGCCTACCAGACCTATTAGGAGTTCCTTTGTTGCAACAGGTTTAACCTTACCTTCTGATTTCAAGAAGGAGCAGTTAAGTAGGAAGGACGAAATGTCAACAGGAAGTCAACAGAGGGGAATTAATAAGGCTACGTGTATTTCTCCAAAGCGAGCAACGGAGAATATATATATTTTTTTAATCCATCCCTGCTTGGGAGATACAGATGACACCGCCGCCTCTTTCTAAATCGTGTTTACCCTTTTGATGCTTGTTCAATTGAATTGGAGGCCTCGCTAAGTGCCTCCTCTCTTTGTTGAGCTTTCCTAAGCAAATGTTAACTCCGCAGATGGTGTTGACGTCAAGGAAGAGCCGTTGGGTCAAAAGAGACATCTTTGCAAAACCTGTGTGTGGGGGTGTTCCTCGCTGGGTTTAACATCATCGCTTCCATCAAGCGCTCGGGGAAATCAAGAGATCCAGGCAGTTCAAATGGGTATAAAGACTTCTCATCAGCTTATATGCGCTCTACAAGAATCTGAACTACTAACGGTCTAAGCAATTTGGCAGTAGATAAGTAATTCACGGTGGGCTGGACTTTGCTTGTGGGCACAAATGGACTCGTGACTGATGATGTGTTTGACCCCTTCCTTGGGCTGAGCTTAGTCATCTCCTACATCAGAGGTGGGGAACTATGCGCCCCCCCCCCTTTATGAGTTGTGGACTTCAATGGAAAACCTGGCCATTTAGACAAGAAAGATAGCATTGGTTTCCACCAAGTCCTGCAAAACGGATCGAGCAATTGCGGAAATGCATAGCTACTAACAAACATTATCTTCCAACGATGATGCCCATTATCTATCTATCTATCTATCTATCTATCTATCTATCTATCTATCTATCTATCTATCTATCTATCTA